GACGCTAGACTTGGAAAAGGCCTGTTCATCAGCCAGACAGGGGCATTTATTCTATGATCCCCTGTGCCGGTTTCCCGTCTACTGACACTCCCATTCAAACACCCATCTCTTGTGGCTTGACGCCTAGAAGGAGGCTTCATATCGAGTTTGCAAGCCAGTATGCAAACCCTCTCTTGCTACAGTAGTTCCTGTGTAAGATTCTGATATCACAAATGCCAGAGCTGACAGCCTCGCTCTGTTTGTGCCGCTAACCCTGAACAATTTCTGGTATCGTTGGTGCACATCACCATATGTGAGCAGACAATGCAGTAGAGGAAAGAATCAAGACCCCCTATATGCTTATGATGATACTAGGACTGCTACCAGAGCCAGACGACATAATTCGTGACTACCGGGGACGTGACGTCAAGTATTCGACAACATTAGAAAGGGCTTCCCTCGGTTCGCCCAGCATTCGGTTGAGTTGTAGCCATTCTGGCAACCCCATAAGCCGAAGTATGTATTGCTACATAGTCGATATTATAGTTTGATGTATCTTGCCATGGAAGAGGGACATTCATCCTGGGCGAGAACAATCTTGGGATTCGAAAGCAGAAGTATGCCCTGAAGGATAAAGGAATAAAAAAATAAATAAAAAAGGCTTAAAGAGTCGAGAAGAAGACGAAGTCTGAGCGTGGACCACACATAAGAGAGACTGGAGATCTAAATTCATTACTCGGAACAAAGGTAGGTATATACACTTTGGGGGGGGGGGGGGGGGGGGGGGTTGCAAGTAAATCCTTTGCCAGGCCGGCTGTAATCAAAGCAGTCAAAAATAACAGTGATAGCAACACGTATCCTCAGGCCTCATGTTGTTATTTATCCGTTGTTATCGGTAATGCTGCGGTTCTCAAAGGCAGTCTCTTTGGCCCGGTATGGAACAGGTTCTGCCAGAACGACTGTCTCGGTACCTATGGGAATGTTTAACTCTGGACCCATCGGCAGTGACTCCATATCAATCTCGACGTTCAACAGAGTCTTGAGAATCACTTGACTACCAACTTTACTCATCACTTCGTTCGCTTGCTTGCACAACTCCGATGCCACACATTCAACACAACCTCGCTCACAGTGACAGTCTTCGACCCGCTTCAACGCATCCCGTAGTAGTAGATCGACATGGTCAAATGCTTTCGTGCTGATACCTGATCCTCCTGCACCACCTTTGGCATCGTAGAATGTTAACCGTGCTGGTCGCTTCCGCTGTGATTCTTGTTTTGCAAACTCTTTCACCGCCGTCTTGCACTCTGTTCGTACATCACCAGGCATGCTGATAACGAAGGCTGGCAGTAAACTCATAATAGCATGCTCTGCAGCGTGTATCGCGGCGGCAATGTGAAGACGTCTCTCTTGGAGAATTCTCATCGCCTTCTTAGGCACATCAAGCCACATTCCCTTGCTGAAACGTATGACTGGTGGATTGTCTACGTGTACCGCATCCAACACTCGGTTCTTCTTGTCGACCTTGAAGAATCCAAACACGTTTTGCTGGATCTTGATTGTTCCATAGTAAGCATGCGATCGAGAACTCGAAATTTTTCTGATGGCCTCTGTCTCCGTGGGATCGATATCAGTATAATCACGCTGAACAGTTGTCCACTCAACCTTGACCCTTTCCACCCTGGCCATTCCTTTGTCAGGCTGGAAGTCTCGTACAAGGTAGGGATTACCCTGGTGAAGAAAAATGGCTCCATCATAAAGTGTAAAAGTTGCTCTTGAGGCCTCCAGCTCCTCCAGAACAACATTCCGGCCATTGGTGATATCTATGATAGCAAAGTGGTCATCTTCTGTGTCTCGTATAGCAACATACTTTGCAGGGACAGGGCGAAATCGATCATGGCAATGATAAAAGCCCATGTCATCTTTGATTAGGCGTTCCATGCAAATCTTCGGTAAGTCTTTGCCAAAGTATTTTGCATCATCTTTCGGGCGTATTGGCATTTCATATGCCGCGCATTGAATGTGTCCTTCACGCACAAGCATATTCTCCAGATCAACTTGCAACTCACAATTGGGCTTTGTGAATAGCTCGTCTGGATTCTGCATGTAGTGCTGGTCTGTGGCAAACCCGTCACCAACCAGTATCGAAAGTGAATCCTTGTTGCGACGGCCAGCACGGCCACTTTGTTGTCGCAGGTTGGCAATCGTATAAGGGAATCCCCACGTCATGACACAATCAAGGGAGCCTATGTCAATGCCGAGCTCTAACGCAGTGGTTGCAACAATTCCAAGCAGTTGACCTTGAAACATTTCAGTCTCGATCCTGCGGCGATCTTGTGCTGTATAGCCGCCACGATATCCCATCACCAGATTGGTACATTCTGGCCGCCCCAGGTTCTCGAGCTCCTGCTTGATGGTGCTCACGAGCAGCTCACATTGCGCCCGAACTCTGCAAAATGCAATGATCCTCACACCTCTTAGCATCAGGGCACAAAACAGTCGCGCGCATTCAAACTTGGTGCTGCCGCGGCCAGATGCAGGATCGCCAGGGTCTTTATATGGAGTGTTCCAGCACAAAAACTCCTTCCGTCCTGATGGAGATCCATCGTAATCTATCAGCTGGACGTTTTCTATGCCGAATATTGTTTTGAAGTGTTGCTCTGGGTTCGCAACTGTAGCAGAACACGATATAAATTTGACACGCCGGTTTCCCACGGCGGCACATATTCGCCTCAATCTTCGCATGATGAAGGACATGTGAGACCCCATTTGACCATTATAATAATGCAACTCATCCACTGTTGACGATTAATACGCATATATAAAGGGTCAATCAAAGGAAGCGCTTACCAACGACATATTTCAAGTTCTTCAGGTAAGATCTCCATCGTTCTTCTTGGGGTAATATGGTAATGTGAAGCATGTCTGGATTAGTAAAAATTATTCTTGCTTGCTCCCGAATCTCATTGCGCTCAATCATTGGAGTATCCCCATCGAATGTCTGTACCATAGTCTCTTCAAGACCAGGCATATAACTCATCATCTCTTTCAAGCTCCTCTTCTGGTCCTGTGCTAAGGCTTTTGTGGGGAAGATGTACATTGCTCTGGAGTTGTAATCCTCTTCGAGGGCACGAATGACCGGGAGTTGGTAGATCAAACTCTTGCCAGAGCTTGTCGATGTTGATACTACAACGTGTTTGCCATCGTGGAGACTGTTGAGGGCCTCTGACTGATGCGCATAGAACTGTGTGATTCCCTTGGCGTTATATAGAGCGTTCACCAAATCCTGGCTCAAAAGAAAGTTGAGGTCCCCATATACAGCCTCCTGCTTCTCAAATACTCGATGCCCATCAGGGACAATCTGTCCAGTATACCAGGGGCTCTCCTTGAGCTCCTGTACGATTTCTGGCACGGTCTTTCGTTCCTTTGGTATGCTCTCTGGTATCGAATCGGCTGCCTTGTCCGGGGCAAACTCTTCTTGGGCAGAAGGGGCCGGGATGTATGCCTGTGTTTGTTCTTTGAGAACTTCAAGTGGATCAATCCCATCTTCGGAGCATTCATTGAGGAAGGCATTAATAGCATTAGTGAATCTTTGGTTACGCCTCTCGATCAGATTGGTCATCTGTTTCTGGCTAAAAACAGGCATTCTCAGCTGCTCGTCTCTCAATTTTCGGTTTGGCTTCGTTGGCTCGCCAGACTTGCCTGGGACTTGTCTCTTCAGATCGCCATCGATGAATTCGAGAAAAAGGACTTCTCGTCCTGCAGGTTCAAGATCCCGATCATGTTGTTTGTCAAGGCCATCCATGCCAGTGTACCCGCCCACTGACGCATCATGCGCAGGAGCCTGAGACCTGAATGATTTGCCAGTTCGGAAGACGTCGTCCCTTTCAGTGCCTTTGACATCAAGTTGTAGCATGTTCTCGTCGACATATGCAAAGAAAAGACCCTCAGGGCGAATCGCTACCATGGAAGCAATCTCATCGACCAGTAGTTCCCGCTTGATATGGGCTTCAACGGCAGATTTTATTGTGTGAAATGTCGTGGCGAGATGTTTTCGTGTGGTGCAAAAGGTGTAGACAAGATTGAGAGCTCGATGCGTTCGTTCAACCTTCTTAAACTCTTCTGGCCATTCCACAGAACAGGGTACGGCCAAACTGCTGGCTTCTTTGTGAAGGGTCGGCCGTGCTTTCCCCCCCTTTCCTCCCCTTCTAGATTTCGAGTTGCTCGGCTGACTTGAAGTCGGACTCTCGGCTGTTGAGTCCTCGCCGCCATCACGCTTGCGTTTTGTTCCTGGCAGTGAATATTCTGTGCTGGGACTAACTCGGCCTGATATTTCCTTGCGTTTTGTCATGTCATTAATGGGAACTGAAAGAATGTGCGAGGCGAGGCTGGGCTCATGATAAAATCAAAGCCGTTTCAATACGTGCAAGTGCGACGTCATGCACGGTTCGAGTCACGAAATTGATGCCAAATCACGTGCATTGATTACAACATCACCGACTGCAAATGTGATGAGACATACAAAGCCTACCTACCTTAGCAGAAATGCAGATGTTATTGTATCAATCGAAGCGTGTTTATTTGTACGAATATGACTTCATGGCCAGCACATAGCTGTAACTCAATCTCCATCTACCCTATCCAGTGTCCAGTGTCCAGTGTCCAGTGTCCTGTGTCCAGGACTTATACTAATGGCTTCCCAATACCATTGTTAAAGACACAGCAATGCTCCCCAAATGATGGCTCTTTACACACAATTCTATCCATGGTTCCGTGCAAAAGCCAGAAAGCGACCAGGCTCTCACGGTGCATTGTATCAGCATGTGTGCTCCAAGCTGGGCACGACTTTCTGACCTTCTAATCATCTGCCCTGCTTGCCACTTGCATAAACGGCAACTGGCTGGACTAGCTCCCCTCATGTATCAATGCAAATCCCCGTTTGCGATTCTATCAGGGCTCGAGGCAGGGCATCACCTCTTTATGGGGGTTTAACAGCTTTGCAAGAGCTTTCCAAACAGTGACTAACTGTTCTGGAGTTCTTTTTGAATGATTCCAATCTCATTCATGAAAAGCTTTGCGTTGGCAGCTGACATCTACGTGACATTTGTCAGTTCCAAGTAGCATATAGGAAATCCAAGGCATTGCGACTTACTCTCATTGTGATGCTCACGGGTTTGGACTGTTCACCCTCGAAAGCAGTGAAGAGGATGCCAACAGACTTCAATGAAGCCTTTTCTTGGAATTTCATGGCGGCGACAAGCGCTGTGTTCAAAATGACTCGATGTGTTTGATCTTGGCGCATGATGAGACGGGCAACCTTGTGGCCTTGGGATTCTCCTGCAGCCTCCTCGTCCACTTCTAAAGCGGAAGCATCAAATGATCCGGGGATAACAGCGCCATTTTCGTCGTACTCGACACAGGCCTGAGGCACATTAATTTTAAGCATGCCCGCACCTCGTTCTTTCCAGCCGGCCTCTTTGTCGTGGTAAAACATCTTGGCTCTTACAGAGACAACCGTTGCCTCGCCGGCTTCGCCATCGTTGACCTCGACTGGTAACTGTTAGAACTAAATTGACAAAGAGATAGATATGAAACTCGCTTTTCTGCAACTTAAGCTTCTTTTTCTCGTCGGATTCCTTCTCTGGCGAAACAGCACGTTCGGCTTCAGGAGGCTGCTCACTCTCCTCTCTTTCTTCTTCCTCTTCGCCACCGTCCTCGGATTCACTATCCGGGGCTCCAAATGGCTTCGCAGGTTTCTCGCTCTTGAGGGGCTCCGCACCAGGCGCAGCGAAGCTCGAGAGAGGTTTGGTACCCCCTAGAGCAGATCCAAAAGTGCTTCCCCCAAAGGGGCTTCCATTGCTTCCAGTTGATAACCCTGCAAAAGGCGACGCTCCTCCTGAGCTTCCAAAGGTCAGCTTAGGTGGCGCGGCAGGCTGTGCTGTTGTAGATGAGGGCTTAGAAGCAAATGAGCTAAGCGAGGGCTTTCCAGCAGCGAGTGACCCGAACGCACTTCCGCTCTGAGAGGCACCAAGAGAAGCAAAGGGCGAAGTCCCGGACGACAGCTTGCCAAAGCCAGACGCCGCGAAAGCGCTGGCAGATGTTTGCCCTTGGGACTGTTTTGTCGCTGATTTGCCGGCTTCGGTGTCTTTGGTCACCTCGCTGGAAGCAATCGTTGATGGCTGCAGAGAAAAGATTAGTCCAGCCCCTACACTTGGCAAGTAAAACTGTGGTTAGCATACCAAATCTGCATCTTCGTCGCGATGTCGCTTCTTCTCGGGCTCGGTTCGTAGAGCTCTATCCTTGGCCGAGTCCGATGATGCCACACTGTTCGAATCGTTTTCTTCAGCATCTTTGTTTCCCTCTAGTTGGTCATGCGCGCGCTTCTTCTTAGGGGAGGCGATTTGCTCCTTCAAGTCATTATCGGGCGCATCCGATGTGTTGGCAGCATCTTCTGGACCAGACGTTGGGGGGTCAGAGATAGAGGATTGCTTTAGTTCACGACGAGTAGCGCGAGTCTCTGCGTCTTCCTTGGTCTCGACGTTGAGAGGTTCGTTCTTGGGACTGGCATCGGGAGCGTCGTCGGCCATGGCGTCCAAAGGCTTGGTGTGATGACGGAAGATCAACGACAAGAGGATTGGGTTTGATAAGGGGAAGATGCTGAACTTGAGTTTATAGCATAGGATATAGAGCAAGACATGTAAGGTCCGAGAATCACGGGTGATGTATGAGCAAAAACATGCGCTGGACTTGGAATCAGGCTGGGCGCAGGTTGTCTGAGTTGGGTCACTCTTGGATGTTGGAATCGAAGGTTGTGTTGAGCGCTGCGTGGAGCCAATCAAACACATGCAGAATCGCCAATGTCAAAATAACCAGAGCTAACCTACCTAGACAACTGAGCCTAGGTACTGTAGCTAAGGTATTCACCGCCCGCCTAGCGCTAATATCCACGCCAGCAGGAGGGGTAACAGTGGAGGATCGAGATTGGACGTCATTTTCACGATTAAACAAAGACAAAATGATCACAGACAGTTGGGGAAAATGTGAAACGCCCCGAAATACTATATATAAATTGGCTTTGTACTGAAATTTGATCCTTAACCATGACTTTGTTCCACCTTAAAACAAAAACATTGCCTACTTAGGTACCTTGCCTTGACCGATCTTGAATGGACCAAAGCCCGCCAGTTCATATCTGATGTGCAGACCTAGTGCTTCTACTCCGGGAGCAGGGGTTGTAGCATTGCTTGAGGTTCAGTTGTCACACAACAAACAAGTTCGAACTACTAATAGTATCATTGATGAATGTGTGGCCATCTCATTATCAGCCTTTCATATGCCTAGAAATCTCAGTATCTAGGATAGGATAAGATAGGACCCAATGGCTCGGTACCGTATCTGCGCGTTAATCGCTCCAGGATCTGTTCCGTTTCGGGAAAACAAACAAACAAACTGCCATATTCGACAAAGCATACCATGATAAAAGTGATACATGTTTGCAAAGAACAGTTTAAGAACCCTAGGAATCAGTCCATGACTCCACTCCATCACCGAAACACTAAACATCGCAGTCCTAGTCAGGTTTCGGTTCGTTTCAAGTAAGAATACATCAGTCTAAATCAACCATTTTAACCACTCCGTCTTTTAAAATCGCAGCAACTTCATACCGAGTCACGTTTCCTGGTAACGAGCCCGTCTTAGCTGATAAAGCACAGACAGCCAAGACCGAGATAGAAGACAAGTAGAGGGTACACTGCAATGGCAACTCGGTTCTTGACAACTCCGCTGCCACCTAAAATGCTGACACCAGCAGCCAGAGACCAACTGATGAGGACGATATAGATGGGGATGCGAGCGATCCAGTGAAGGCCGAGGGCAGACATCATAGCAGCAAGAACCAGGGGGAAAAGCGTGTATCCGATGATGCAGACGCTCTGAGCGAAGGAGCTTTGAGCAAGTTAGCGAATTTCACATGAGCAAACCCAGACAGCGAAACATACATGTTACCACCCAACAGTTTGATCTGTAGCGTCACGACAGCCTCACCAAGCCAAATCATAGCAAAGACGCCACTGAATACAGCATCACGCTGTTCAGATCGAGCGGTGATGCTGAGGAGAACACTTAGAAGAAGACAGAAGATCAGAGGGCCCCAAAGATCCCAGTCGCGAAGACCAGGAGTCATGTTGCTCTGGAGCAGAGCCTCAGCATCAACCATACGGCTCGCCAGTCCAGTGAGTTCTTCCCTTGTCCCTGAAAGACCAGCGCCACGGATGCTGGAATAAGCGCCGCGCAGACCTCCCTCGTTATCGAACATAGTACCACCCAGGAGATAGCGCGGGTAGAGCACTTCTCTGAGCTTTGCCCAGACAGCGAGCAGGTCGCGACGCAATGTATCCCATACGGATTCGTCAATTGTATTTTGAGGAGCTCTTCGGTCTTCTCCGGGGATTCGTGAGGTCAGATAACCTTCGTTCAACGGTCGCGATGATGAGCTGGAGCCAATGTTGCCTGTCAAGGGCTGACGGGTGTTGTTGGTCGCAAGAGGGTCGTCAAAGTCGTTGAGATCGGCTGAATCTAGGTCAGCTTCCACGGAGTAGAGAATAGAGCTCTGCATGTTCCAGCAACAATAAGGGCCCAGTGTGCGATCTCTTACCATCATCAGGGTCGATCAGGTCGTCCTCATCCTCCAAAGGTGGGTTGGCATAGTGCCCTCGAGCGTTGGAAGCTGACATGATATGTAGAGTATCGTGTCGCTCGGTATGAACAATCGGTTGTGTAATTAGTATTGTGGTGTTCTTTCCGGCGTCACAGAGAAGTCGTGTGAAAGCTGATGAATATGAAGCTGACGTACGTATTTCTATGATGTAGGTAATAACGGCGAAACTTCCACGGTCGCCTCTCCAGAAATGGGCCCCTTGATGCAAGGTGGCCCAAGCTTCCCTTTCACTGCAGCCAATCACAGCGCCGTCCAGGTCAGGTACGGGCAGGGGAGCCTCTAGGTAAAGGGCATCCCTTGAATGACAGATAATTCTGATTCAAACACACATTTGCTATACGAGAAATGGAATCTCTTCTTTGAAGCGCGAAGAAATAAAAATATATTAACCACCTTCCAGGCTTTTACTAATTCATATTGTCTGACGATTCTAACGGCATCATCTCATTTCTCGTCACTAGCGTACAACATCAGTACGACTCAGAGCTTCTTCGTGATTGAGAAACAAGCCTACAGCCACTGGGCTCTTTTGAGTTACAGGCTAATAAGTCAAAGCTCATTGACAAACACACCATTCAATCCTTCCCCTCTCCTTGCATTTGTTCAATATTTCATGATCAATGATGTACGTCTCCATAATACTTTCCAATAGACCCCACCTCGAACGGCATATTAATGCCATCCGTTTGGAGGATTATGGGAATGATCCTCGGCTGACGTGGTGGGAATTTGAGGGTTTCCAAGCCAATGCTGCCCATCGCTCAACTGGCTTGTTTGTTGGTTCACTGAAGAAGCCGAAATATTGGAAGGATCTTGATGGTGTTGACGGCTGTTCTGGGCAAATGCCTCTTGGTTGTGCTGATGGGCTGATGGTTGTGAATACCATGGATTACCATGGCCATTGGCCGCACGGTTCTGATATCCCAAACCAGTCGTACTATAGTCTGCTGTTCCCTCCATTGAAAACTCAGTTGAGACCGAGTCCTGATTATGGAACGATGGCTGCTGTCGTCGGGCCTCTTGAGCCCATCGCTGAGCAGCCTGGTTGTAAGGCCCTTCGTAAGAGGCGTCTACCGCTTCAGGGTCCCATATGGGGAGACCGTCGGGAGGTTGAGCCTCTCCTGACGGTTGGCCATGACCATAAGATGCTATGTTTCCGTTGATACCCACAAGGGCCCAAGCAAATACGGCAACATCTCTAATAGATTGCATGAGCTGATCCATAGGGGGGCCACCAGCAGCTTGAATACCGCTTCGCGGTGGCATACGGTGCGGGGCATACGAAGCTTGGAAGTTGAGAACAGCTTCGTGAGGATAACGGGGATATACAGGTTGTTGCGCCCAAGGAGCAGCGAAAACACCGTGGTCGAAGGTAGAAGGAATTTGGGGAGGCTCAACACTGGGAATCTGGGGTCTTGCTCGGCGGAGGATGACGACAAGACCATCAGAGGTACATGAGACGACCGCTTCCAACTCGACAGAAGGTGCCAGGTGTTGTGCTGGGCGATTGCGGGATCTGCGTGCCTGGGACACGTTATCCTCAGGTGGTGGCGGCGACTGTGGTGTAAGAGGAGTCTGGTAACGAGTTGCTCGTGAGCTAGAACCCAGAGCATTGGAACTCGTAGTGCGGGATTCACCAGATGTTTCGTTGGAAGTAATGCCATCCTGCATATCCACATCAGGTTCTACCTTGATGGAAGGACCTGCCGAACCCCGGTGGGAGTTGGAGTTGGAATCGAGATCCATGGCACCATCCAACTTAACACCACCTCCCTCAGAATCGCTGGAGCGGCGGCTCTCAGCACGTCGTTGCTGATTCGGAGCCATCGAGCCGCTTCCAGATCCATTCTGGTCTAGGGACGGATTGTTGGTGGTGCCGTTTCTAAAGTGACGGGGCCCCTCGCTTTCATTTCGTCCACCAACACCATCAATTGTCGACTCCTCATCAACATCGCTGCCTTCTTCCTCGAAGTCTTCGGGTCGTCGTGGATCGCGAGACCAGAATCGCAAGTAAGCAATGGAATCGTTGGCTTTCGCACTCTCAATGCACTTGAGTGCATCATCCAGGCAGGTCTCTCGAATACATTCGTAGAAGCTTTTATGTTGAACTTGATCGGCAGGAACGCCGAGGATGGAGGCGACAGCATCGGTTGCAAACATAATAGTCAATGTTCTAGTAAACCGATTAAGGATAAGAGCAGCTCGGGGTTCACGCTCCACAGGTGGCAGCCTGAACTTGGGGGACAGGTGTTGCAACATGTGATATCGTGGGTCTCGAGGAGAGCGTGAAAAGAGACGCCGGACTTGTGGTGCGTCCAGGGCACGTCCTGAATTCTGTTAATATATGCAAAAGGGTATATCAAGGGGGCAAGGTAACTGCGGTGAACATACTCTCACTCTTGGCGTCACGCCTGTAGATACTTATACAAGCAAAAAGAATATCGTGGACGATTGAGAAGCAGCATTCACTGCTTACCCAACGACCATCATGAGAGCGAAGACGTGCATAGTGCAAAACGGCAGCCTTGTCCAGCAAGACGCCACGACTATGCACGGATCGCGCATACGGGACTTCATCCGGATGAAAGAACTCAAAAGCAGACTTATTGATGACGTCCTGTGGAGAGTATCCAAGAATTTCAAAGATGGAATCAGACGCATAAAGGATATTAGCGTCCGGGTGTAAATCTGGGCGAGAACGGGTTAGTGAAGGTCTGAGAGAGAAGACGCAGGGACAGAGATAGCTCACTATGTATAGTCAAGAAAGTATGCTCCATGAAGATGACGGCGCAAGAGCAGCGAGCTCCGCAACGAATTGGCCTGATAGTAGAGTTCTAATTGAAAGCGAGAGATCGCAGTGTGCAGGCCAGGCGTGTCCCGTGAATGTTGGCTAATACCAATCAATGGTCACTGGAGAGACGAGTATTGGATGATTGTTCGAGATCAGAGTTTAAGCGAGTGCACGAAGGGACTCGACAGCGTATAAATCAGAGTCGAAGAACAAGAGAAGTGATGTAAGTGGGTTGGAGGTCTCCCACCATCGATAAGTCTAACTCGCTAACTTGAGATAGTGTCTTTTGGCGTTAACTGCCAGAGTGGATCTAGTCGATAGTAGGTGTGAGACTTTGCGATCTAGAGGCGGGTAGTGGAAGATATCTTGGATGATAGAGCACGGACGTGGTAATCAAATCCGAGGCCCTAGTGATATGGGGTTTAGGGACTAGATAGGGACTAGAATAGAAGTACAGTGTTTGGGAGTTGTTCAAGATGAGGCAATTGTTGATCTGGTCATACAGATCACGAATCTCTTGAAGGAGAAACTGAGATTGACGATAATGGACAATCGGAGAGTACTTTGGTCAAGTAGTAAATAGATAGACGCTCGGGTACTGAAATACCTGGCAGTTGTAGAGTTCTCTCTATGGTGCCTAAGAGCACTGAGGAGAATGAAGAATGGGAATAAATTGAATTGTTGCGACTGAGATAGGCAAGTGCGGACAGCGAAGAAATATATATAAAGCGACCAAGAGATGGCTGTCAACTGTGAACCAGGGGTGTGCACGAATCCAGTCTGGCATGGCCCCGGAGCAACGCGCATCCGGGAATGGGGAACTCAACAGTGTTGTCTGTATGTATCTGTATGTGAGGCTCGACAAAAACAGGGAGTGAAGGGTGAAAAATGAAAAATGAGATTCTCCCCTGGGCTTAACCGGGGGCTTGAAGAGGTAAGGTTGGTTGGTTGGTTGGCTGGTTGGTTTGCGATGGATGTTTGCCGTTTAATTAGAAGAGGCTGTCCACACTCGACGTCACAGCTGAAAGATTTGTTAGTATAGTGCTCGACTATTCTTCGAGTCCAGTCCTGGTCTTTTGGCTTGATTTTGAACTGCTCCTGAAGTCCCCGGATCGCAAATGATATCGTCAACGATATACCCGAAAGACAATGTTGTTGTCGAAAAAGAATCGTCATCCACAAGTACCTCGTCAAGGAGGCTTATGCATCTGAGACAAGGTTGTTTGCAAGGTATATTCCAACCCCATCACACAAAAGCTCAAGGCTAGGAGGGACACGAAATGCCACTTGCAGCGATGGTGAAGAAACCCCGAAGTTCGTCGGATGCACCGTTGACGGACGGCGGATATAGTTACCGTTTGTATGTAGGTACAGTACCGTCCTGTACCTCGACTACTAAGGTACTACTAACCTAGTACCACTATACCTAGGGAGACTCGACTCGACTCGACTCGAAATGAGGCTGCAGTTCTGGAGGGTGGCCACGATGTGTTACTGGATTACGTATTTTCTGTGGTCTTGGTATTAGGGAACAAGCAAAGAAGCTCAACGCCATCCTTGACACTCGGTGGTGGGCGAGTTTCGAGAATAGAGACAACAAGAGTATCTGTCTCTGCTGCAGGTTTATCCGGTTGGGGAACCCAATGAATGGAGAAAACAATTGGGACAGCCAACCAAGCCACCAACCCTTGAAAAGCTGAAAGGAAATGGCTTGCAGTCCTCATTGTTCTCATGACTCGAACCGCGCAAACTTTTTGCTAGGTTCGTCTACTCTCGGTACATGTTCTTTCTTTCCCTTGGTGCTGTGGCTTTCTTTTTTGATGGCGGAGAAGGGAATGAGGAATGACGTTGAACAGAATGACGAGTAAGATTCACGACCATCTACGGAAGAGGAATAGCTGTCAATCGCCGAAAGACGGGAACCACAATTAATCGCCGCTCCGATGTCGAAACGACAGAGCTTAAACAGGGATCGAGCTTTTTGTACTATCAATCGAGAAATTGGCTTTGTTCTCTCCGATACTTCTCTCAATTATCACTCAGGGATATACATTAGCTACTGCATAACATATAATTTCAGCGTTTCAAGATGAGGAATAACTTCTACAACAATACAGGACTATTGTACCCGGACCAGCATATACCTCTTGTGACACAATTCTTTGTTGCCTCATCTGTAACAGGTAGTCTCTTCCTATCTCTCCATGAATACTAATCGTCACACTTTTGCACGACCAGATCCTTCGTTTTTGTCTGTTGTGCCACAATATGCCATGCCCCCATCCGTCTCAGCATGCCGCGTTCCTCGAAACTCCACGCAACAGCGTTATCACTAAGGAGGGAGCAGCCGTTGTTGCTTTTGTGGCCACCTCGGTAATGCTCTGCCTCTAAGCAGGTATCTTTTGAGGGCGCATCCATCGAAAGAACCTTGCCCTAGCGGAGTGTAACTCAGACCCGGTCTTGGTCCTGGTCTTGGTCCTACTGTAGTCTAGGGGCCGAAGCCCATTATTCAAGCGCGGGATCTGGACGTCGTCGGTTGACGGCGCCTTTCCCGTCACACAACCCTTTGGATAACAGACAACGGTTGGCTAGGTCATTTCGCCCTTGCTGAAGCCACAAGAGACCAGTGGACGGATGAGTTCAATCCCGGCCCGGCCCATCTCTCGATGGAGCACCGTCTGATACTGCAAGACGGTCCTTGTGTCCCTCACTAGAAGCTCGGCGAAATTTATCGGGAAGTCGTTGCGAGGACCCTTGAACACCCTAGCACGTCAACGCCCGTGCTGCCATGGTGGGTGGGTGGCTTGGTGTGCTCAGTTGCCAGTCCCTGACATTGATGATCGACAACTAACTACATAGGACCTTGATAGTGAGGCTAGCGTGACGGAGGCTTGATTGGTTGACAGGTAGCCATCCATTCTTTGTGCATCAAATGTTACTCTGGTCCTGAAAATGTAGCCAGTAGTCACAAGAGTGCAGGCTGAAACATAGCAAACTGAATTAGACATGAAGACTGGCAGACATCTTGAGCGTCATGAACAGGAGAAAGTCTTCAGATGAAGCGTACAACTTCTAGATTTATTCATGGTCACGGGATCATGCATCAATGCTACACGCAGGATTGCGAGACGGATACGAGCCAGAGACACGCCGATGCGGGTGTAATGAGTGACTGTGCGTCAGAATGGCAGTGAGTTCCTTCAAAACACCACGTTTGGATCGGATACGATGAGATCAGGCACTCGGCTGTGCAAGGTGGTGATGCCGGTAGGTGAGATTCTGTATGGACATCTCACAGCTCCGCAGTTTCGAGGTGTATGGGTAATAACATGTCCGAGCTCACGACATTCGTTTCTGCGGTGTATGTCAAGACTCATACGAGGCACCAAGAGGGCGATTCTCTACCTTTGCCTTTGATATGCAAAGCCACAAGCTCTTGAACTTGGAAGCTGGCATTCCAGAGGTGACAATTGCGCAACTGACTTTGAGGATGATTCTGCGATGCTGCAGGTTCTGCAAGGGAGACTGGATTCAAGATGTGAACGGCATGTAACAAGAGGAATGATTGGTGATATGTACTTAGTGCAAGAAGAGTACAGTATTCTGCAGCCAGGAGGAAATGCTCCATGGCCATCACGATCCATCTCTTGACATTGACAAGAAGGACTAACCGAAACCCAAAGCAAGCTGGCGGCCGTTGAGACGTACGTTAGATACCCGTCATTGGTCTGGGTATCTTCGCTTAGTCTGATATTTGACTCCTCAACCTAGGTATTTTTATAGAATCCAATTTCAGACTGTCTGATGGTAGAGTATCTCAGGTATATAGATTTAGCGAAGTGAGGGAGGAAGAGTAGGAGCCTCAGCTCAGGTGGGAAGTAGAATCGATTGCTTCGCCAATGAAAGCTCCCGCTCGTCGATTCAACCAACCAGAGCCTGCGCTTGCTCATCACTCAGATCCACTCTTCCTACTAAGTTACCTTTAGTCGTCGCTCTTCTTTCGACAGCACAACATGAAACCAACGTAGCATCCATCATTCAACTCGACGCGTATCGCGTTGATGATTATTCTTCTTGATCCTGGATTTTTGACGTGAACGACAAAGCAAGATAAATGGCGGCTTCTTAACCATATTATTAATTCTGATATTCGCGACTCAGACCCCAAAGATTTTGTTTCTTTTCTTGTCTCAAGGCGCTGCTCTTTGAGTTCTCGTCAACGGCGTTTACTTGGTTGTCAGTCTCCCAACCTCGCGTCTCAGACTGAAAGCCTTCAAGGATACAGCATCAGGCAGGCAAGCAGCTTTCGTCTACACGCCCAAGAGGAGAAAACGCTCTCGTCATCTCGCCGCGATTCTCATAGCACCCTGTGTGCAACATTGTAAGGCCGTATCTAAGATTCGTTGCCATACCATAATCTTCAACGGTCACTGTTGATCAGCCAGCTAGTATGGCTATCGCCGATGATAACGCGTTTGAGCTTCCCAAGCTTCGTTCCTCGTTCTCGCTAGAAGTAATTATCAGTAAGCCCCATAGAGTCTTTGAAACTAACAAATGCAATAGAACGATACAGAGTTTCTCGAGAATGACAACGTTGCTGGTATAGCCCCTTTTTTCATTACACTCAATAGTCAATGCATTGTCTTTTCTAACGAGAGAACTATCTTTTCTAAAACATAGAGTTCTTCGATGTGAAGTTCTGTCCTTACCAGCCGCTTGATGCACAACCAGTCTTTGCCGCTATCAGCAAAAAGCATGTAAGCCTCCCCTCAGCCTGTTCAACGCTGACGGAATGAGTTCTCACACGTGCCTAGGTGGTTATCTGCACCCTATCTCACACAGCTGACAACAACCCATGCGAGGTCCTCTCGGTAATCAGAGATGATGATGTGCGTATTGCTTAATGTGCTCTGCCTGCCCATTGCGGTTTGATAACATTGTCTAGGATGAGGCTTCCGCATGCTGTTGTACTTGGACAAAAGATCCCGTAACAGGCGCCCCCTATCTATGCATTGGTGGAGTCGATGCCAAAGTCAAGATCTATGATGTTGTGAACGGGAAACTATACAGGGTATCCTCTATTCCAGGGAAATGCTGTGCAATGGCAGTCGCTGACTCTTTCTTGCTTGATTCTAGTGCCTGACTGGCCATGGAGGTGTTAGTTCATCAGCTTCAATTTGTCATGCCTTGACACAGAAACTCATTTGAAGCAGGATGTCAATGATCTAGCAACTTCGCCCGCAGACCCGTCTATTATCGCCTCCGCTTCTGGTGACACGAGTATTCGTGTCTGGAGTCTTGACCCAGTCCACGCAAACCGGCCCTGCTTGGTTATCCTCGCCGGCGAAGGGCATTCATGGGATCTTCTGAGCTTGGTGAGATTTTTTACTAATTTCATCATGGTCTTCCTCTTGAATGCTGACAATTGCTGACAGGCTTTCCACGACACTGGCCGGTACATTCTGTCTGCTGGACATGACCAGATTATCAACCTGGTAACTATGCTTCAACAAGCTTCAGGCGGACATTTCTGATTCATCAAAGTGGACGCTCCCAGATCTCCCCACCGAGGCCATCACAACCCCTGTCCGTGTCCATTACCCTCACTTTTCGACCTCAGCAGTCCACAGTGGTATCATTGATTGGTAGGTTCTGTGTTCACATCTGATGATCTAGATGCTAACACGGTATAGCGTGGCCTTCTACGGTGACTATATCCTTTCCAGGGCATGTCATGACAATGTTATCTCACTTTGGAGAATAGAGGGTTTTTCTTCTGCAAATCCTCCCCCTCCCCAGAGCATGGCGCCGACAGCTCAGACAACCGTTCCAACCAATTACGATGAGGCGAGCCGTCTTACACGTTCAGCGTTTGTTCCAACGATGTCTCCCCAGTGCCCTTCTCAGTATACCATGCTACTGCAGTTCCATACCCCCAACTGTGGCCCGCAGTTCTTCATGCGTTTCAAGCTACATTTTGTGCCGGACCAGCATCCAGTTTTAGCATTTTGCAATGCTGGTGGGAACGTTTTCTTCTGGGATTTTGAACGTTTGCTAGCGTATCGAGAGTTCATGGAAGTGCTGAAGGACCCCAACAGGGACAGGAGTAAACCAGTTCCCCATCCAAGTTGGATGCGGCTTGTGAAGGGTCGACCCCCCAAGACGGACTCTAATAAAGGCCGGAGCGGAGGGGCCGACAAGGACATCCCGAGCGCCTTTCGGGCAGATGCAATCAGGCTGAGCGAAGAGATTGGCGACTATAACGCAGAGACCTTAGAGACGTGGGCGTCGAGGTACAGCCAAGAGGATCCCCATGAGCCATTAAAGGCACATAAGACAGAGTCTTCATCTGCCAACTTTGTGGGTCGACAGGCAGCTTGGAGTCCCGGAGGAGAGTGGTGTGTCGTGGTGGGAAGCTCGAATCAGGCATTGATCCTCCAGCGCTGGGCTAACAAAGGGTCAACATCAAGAGCATCTGCCTCTGCGTCCGCTTCTGTATCTGTATCTGTCCCTCCGTCCGCTCCCACATCTGCCCCTATCCAAAACGGTACGAGTTAGTATGGCGGCCGAAGGATGCGTTGATCATCAAGACTAGAGACCCCTAATCGGTAGACTTGAGTAGAGTGGAATGGAAGTATCTCCCTCGACATCACCTGAAGGGTTCAAAGCTTTCCATGCAGCTTTGTCTAACTCGCCTCCATATGTGATTATTCTCTCCAGATGATTTCTGGCACTCTGTTGTTCCGCCAGTCTTGCTTTCTGCACTTCTTCGGCCTGATACTGCGAGACGGGGCTGATGGGAATAACTAGGTCTGCAATGTAAAAAGAGGCCATGGCGTGCAATCGAAGATAATGTTGATTCCTTGAGTACGGCATATCCTGCATCAACACATCCATCCTCTTCGTGATGTCCTTCATGATGGATAATGCTTGGACTCGCAGCTCGTCCTTCTTGAGAAGTTTCCTCGCTTCCACGTTGTCTGTTTCGTCACTTGCGATGCTTTCATCATTGCCGAAAGACTCTCGGCGAGACTCTTCATCAATCTCGCTCTCCAGTCGATCAATGGCCAGTATATGTTCGGTATGCGTATTGTAGATTTCGCAGCTAAACAGAGCAATCCAGAAATCCAAGGCTGAGACGACCTTTGGGGTCTTGTAGTCATAGGGATGCTGCTGTATCAGTGTATCGAAGTAGGCCTTGACCTTGCTCATATTAGCAGCCCGGCCCCATCTCTTGGTAGATTTCAGCTGATTCTCATGTGAACCATCATCTTGCCGTGAAGTGTCTTCACCTTCACGCATGAGAATTTCTGCACCCATGGCCCAGAGATCATGATGTCGAACATCGACAAGGAGACCAGAAGGACGCAGCTGCAGAATAAGGCCATATGCACGAGATGCCTTAGGGATCTCTCCTCGATCAAGGAAGTAGTGAATAGACTGTAGGAGCACATCAAAATGACCGCCTCGTTTACGACTTTTGGATTTCTTAGACGTTGGGCGTGCTGCTTCGTCTCCTTCCGTTTCCGGGTCTTCATCACTCTCAGCTTCAATAGAAAAGGCTTCATTAGATGAGCTACCGCGATGCGGAAAGTCGCGTATGCGCTGTGAAGGGTTCTCATCCGTTTCTGAGAGGCCGGCGACAGCGAACTGGGCAACTACACCAGGAGAATGGCTGAGAGGGTTGATGGAGCTTTGGGGCTTTGAGCTTGGAGAATCGACATCTGTTGTTTCTGACCGTTTGCGTTTGTTTGATCTTGATTGTTGTGAGAATGATGGCGGATCGAGTAAGGAGTCCATTTGCGATGGAATTATGAGTGACGCTGAGGTTGATGCTGGTTGATGTAAGAGATCTTGAAAGTCCTGGTAGGCAAGGTACGTTAACTAGTAGTTACCCTACTAAGGTATCTACTAAGTAAGACACAAGGCCCCACTAATGTTGCTTACCTACCTGTACCTAGGTATATCGTTGCTTCGAATTGCAGAAAGACAAACACTTCGGCTGCAACTGTCTTCATACCTAACCTGATGCAATGAACACGCAGGATGAAAAATGAATACACCTCGGCTTGGTGAAGGCGAAGCACGTTAAAGTACTGTTAGCAGTTGATGTCATGAATTCACATCCTGGTTCATCAGGAGAGCTCTTAGGTTCATTTCTAACTATTGACCCAATCACCAAGCCCAGCATAGTCATCCTATGTACATAAATCCCCTCTTCTTTTACAATCAGTTGCTTCATCTTCCACTGCTGGCTCTGTTTAGGTTCGGTCAAAGTAAGTCCACTGACCCGGGACGGGCTTCTCCTCGAGATCCTCCCAGCTATAAGCTTTTAGTAATAATTCCAGACTGTCGATATAATCGTTGCAACTTACACCTTGGTCTTCTCCATGGTCTCGACTAGCTTAAGCTCACCCTCGGCAACTTGAATAACCTCCTCGATAAGGCCAGCTCCAATCTTCTGCTCGAGCTCGTGGACCCTGTCGTGCGAATTAGCCGGCCTGTCACTTCCAATTATGAATGTCCAGAGATAACGTACTGGTCGGCAGTCATCTGAGGCTCATCCTCCCACTCAATCTTCTCATGATCTTCGAGAGGCTTGCGTTCTGCCCAGGTAACCTGGTCCTCTCGCTCCTTTTGTGTTCGAATTCCCTCGTACTCAGGGCCCTCATCCTCCTCGCCATTCCACTCCTCGACTCGAATATCGCCCGCCTCGTGCTTTCGGCCCACCACAAAGATCTTGTCGCCGAGCTTAACAGTATGAGCTTCGCTACCATCAACGCGACCGCTGGCTACTCGGAACTGGGAGGAGTTCTTGCTGACGAGCTCCTTGGCGCGAACCGCCCACTCGTGGTAACCTGGAGGGATCATCTGCTCGACGAGGGACATGCGGTGCTTGGTGACAGCCTCAACGGATTGGCGGTACATGGAGGTCTCGGGGATGCTCTGGAGCTTGCTGAGGGTTGTGCCGTACAGGTAGAGGAGGGTCGATCGGGGCGTGGCATGAGTCCAGAGACCAGTGAGACCGGTGGGAGTACCGGCCTCTAGATAGCGCGCAAACACACGAGCTGTTGGCCTCATCCTGGAGAAGTCAATTGCAATTGCTTCGTCGTGACTTTGTTGACGGAATGGTCAGAGGAAATTGAATTGACCTCATTGGACTCTAGACTAGACGCCCCCAGCATTGACGTCTCAAAATGCACGTGCGTGCTCACGTGACTCTTCAAACCATGACGAGTTAATGCCAGATCATTGAATATGCAGTTGTAGGTACTCATCATGGCCAGGGGCAACTCAACATTTTGCAATTGACGATATGTCGCAGTTGTGCATGTCAGCTATTGATCGAGATCATGTAGGTCTAATATCGTTGAACCCATTCACACCACATCACCGGTCTCTACATCTTGGAGCTAGCAATAGACTCATAAAGTCCGTTGCAAGGATAACGAAGAAAGAAAGAAGCCCTCAAATCTTGAAGTGGTTGATATCTCAATACTTGAATCAAGACAATATTTTATACCTTCCAGGCATATAACTTGGATCCTGAGTAAGAAAACTGAAAAAGAAACACAACACGCGTTGCATTCGCTCATATCATGGACGTAAAGTCCGACTCGGCGTTTGCATGCCGTGTGTTTGAGCGACACATAGTTAAATCACACATCCCTTTGTCACTAACTTAGGAAGACTCCTCGCGGCTCTTTCGGTAAGCGGCCTGTAGCACAACATGTCAGCCCCTTTCTACGTGTCTATGCTCAAAACCCAGAGGCACGACGCACTTCTTGCTCAGACTGGAGGCCCTCGATAACGGGGGCGAGCTCGGTGAGAATCTCGTATGCCTTCTTGTGGTACTCAATCTGGGCGGAGACAAGTTCGGCAAGGTTGCGCAGGGGCTCAGGTGTGTCGAGAACCTGATTTGGTCAATACGGTCATGCTGGATGATCAATTGTTTTGGGAATAAGCTCACATTCTTCATGACACCAACGGCCTCCTCGGTCTGAGTGACAAACTCGTCCTCAGCCTTCTCGATTTCCTCCTGGGCCTCAGGACTCAACTCTTGCTCCTCATGGGGCTGGTCGCCATGGGCATGGCCACCCAGCTTGAAAGTGGTACCCTTGGCATGAGCCTTGACGGCATCCAGAGAGAGGCGAGAGTTCTCAACGTTCTTGCGGGCGCGGGTAGCGAAAGTCAAGTTGGTGTTGAGGGTAGTGTTCCAACCAGCGAGGAAACGGCTCTGGATCTGGGCATCTTGGGCAAGACGAGCCTCACCAACACGCTCGCTGGCAAGCGCATACTTCTCCAGGGCGGTTGCGAGGGGGTCCTCTCCGGCGCCAGTGTGGTGCTGGTGGAGGAGCTGGCTGCTAGCCAAACTGGCACGAGCGACAGCATGGCTGAATGTCTTAGGTTGAGGCTTGGCGGCGGGAGGGGCGACGAGGGCAGCCTGGGCTTCGGCGGGAGAGGTAGCAGACGAGAGGAGGCTAACCTTTTCGCTGACGGTGCGGCCAAGATCCTGGAAAGTCTCCTTGATGTTGGGGGGGTAGTCGTAGGCCTCGTTAGAGTACTGGGAGCTATAAAAAGCATGTTAGATCACCAACACCCTTGGCATGTGATGACGCAGACAGATTATCCAGTGGACTTACGTCACAGCAAGCATCTTCTGGTGGGCTTGCTTGAGGGCATCGACGCGCTTCTCGAGATCGATGTAGTCAGGAGGGAGTTGGGTCTATAGGCCACATGTAAGAACACCAGCTGCGCGATAGAGTGCAAAACGGCTCAACCCACCTTGTCCTCAGTTTGACCGAACTGCTCCTTGGTATACTGGAAGGTGCGCGACGCAAAGGGGGTGATAGAAGCCCCAAGGTTGCTGTTTGAGCATGGTGAGCCTGAGGTTCGATCACGGCCAGCACTTGGAGGAACAAGATTGCGCAACTGTGCTATCTCGTTAATTCCAGGGGAGCACATACGAGAGGTTCTTTCCAAGGTTGGTTCCAAAGTTTCCGAAATCCATTGTGTCGGTTTGTCCGGGATAATTGAGTATTCGATCGGTTGTTTGATGCGAGGTCGATTGAAGATTTGGAGAAGTGAAAAGGGGATGCTATTGTTGCGTCAGCGTGGATTGAGGCAGAAGTAGGTGAGGTAAAGATGAAGGTCAGGTAGGTACTTAAGGTCTGGTTAGAGATATGGGAACGCTGTCACAAGAGAAAACCCCACAGCAGCAGCCCCGGTATTGTAGCTGACTGGAGCCTTGAGTTTTTCCCTTTTCCAGGGGCTCGAGGGGCTTACAGGCTCACCACTTCACAGGCTGTGTCCCCCCCTACAGTTGAGTCCAAGCAGCCATCCCAGGACATCCATTTAAAACGGGCCCGCCTAGGCGAGTGCAGATCTCGAAAGGTACTAAGGTGGCCCTAGCTCTTCTGATACAGCAAGGTACCGATGCAAAACTCCCTAATAATCAGCCACAACTTAAGGGTAGATCAGATCAGCCGCGACCGCACGAAACTAATAGACTACCTAGGTAGGTTTCTGCCTACAAAGATAAGCCGCTTTGATGACGAGTCCTCTTGACGAATCCCTTTTGTAGGGTGTTTTAACCACAACGAATCTGAAGCAGGAAACCACAAGTGAGAGGGTATCTATCGATCAATTGATAATTGTACTGGATGGGATAAATAATAGATCCGATGTTCTTTTAGACTCCGTAAACATTGCTCGTCGAAATGCTTGTTCCACCTCTTCCTCTTCGAATTGCATGAAAGCTCTATACTCCCATCAATCAATCCAAAATGTGTTTATTGTCAGCCCAAGAAGGTTCGACTCCCCTGCATACCGACTCATAATCTCGCAGCATGGGACTTTGGCTGTCCAAATTGGGTGTTGTCCAGAACATAGTCCAGTTGCACCCAGACAACTTACTGGTACCCAAAGATCGCTCAAAATACCATTTGTTCACCGGGTTATCCTTCCGACTTCTCCACGATACACCATCGGGGAGACAGCCTCGCACCATAGCATTAAAAACAATATCAGCGCAACCACCACTGCCCTGGCTCTTCCTCAGGACGGCAAATTTGTCTAGATACGGGACGTAACGGCCTTGCTCGTACGCGGTCTGGTCGTCCAAACCTTCGGGTTTCTCCCACGTCAGGATGGCACCGCCTTCGTATTCTCCAGCGATGATCACGCCGGCCAGGTTCTCGTTGACTCTATTGAGATAGTCATCTACATCCAGTTTTCTGCCAAATGAGTCCTCGATGAGATGGACCAGTCGAGGGAGGTCGATGCACTTATCAGTCAAGCGGAGTCTCGGACTTCCAGGCTTGGGCGGAACCCATGGACTCTCCCGAGGGTGAGGGAATACTCGAAGAGGCATACCCTTTTTAAGTAGAGTTGAGCCTCCAGATGCCCCCACTGTGGGTTCCCTACCAGAATTCGTTGGTGCGCGCGCCATTGGGAGGGACGACGAGAAGACGGGCTTGTCTGTGAGAAGGTTGTGCAGTAGTGGGTTTTTCTTCCTCCGAGTTGTTACTATACCACCGATTCCAAAGAGAGAATCAGACCCGGTAGCTTCGTTGGGCTCAAATGACGTTTTCATAAGATTGGCCGCAGCGCCGGGTGTAGTAATGAGAGCAGATGAAGTATGAGGTAGCATCGCCAAAGCATCTCTAGCAAGGGCCAGATTCGCAGCATGTGCAGTGATCGAGGCACGGAGGTCCTTGTCGTCTGCTAGGGGGGATCCGTCAGGGCCCATGAGTTCTTTAAGAATCGGTTCATATTCTTGTTCCAGGTTAATGAACCGATGGGATGCACCAGGCCGGCCCGTCATTGGTGTTGCCCCAAGTGGATCAAGAAGGATGATTCTCTCTACGAGAGCAATGGGTTTTGAGGGGGCAGCATCGGCCTCAGCAAATGTGTTAGTGGTATTGGATTGCACGCCTGCAAAGTATCTAGTGAGAGCCAGCACGATTTGATTCGAGTCGGCAGGCTGGGGCGGACGGGTTTCATCGCGGCTGGCCACGGAAGGGATAACCGGCATCATGCGATGATGCAGAATGTGGTTGATAAAGGCAGGATCGTCAAGTCGGATATCAGTCGTCTGTGATTTGCCCTTCTGTCCGACGGGTTCCGAGCACACAAACGCATGCTTTACCACACGAGCGCCATGTTCTCCGAAGCTGTCGATGGCTTCACAGAGGCGGAAAGCCTGGTCTTGGAAAGTCATGCGAGATTCATCAATGCCACAGTCAATGACTACGACGCTCAAGAGCCCGAGCTTGCGCAATTGAGACAGCGTATTTGCTACTCCCGCTAGAGTTGTGGCATCGATCTCTTGTGGAACCCGAAGCTTCATAATAGCAACATGCGGAGGTGCGATGTCCAGTGGTTCCGTTTCCTGCTGCGGATCACCCTGGACGAATAGAGGTGCATCAGTGAGAGACTTTGGATTCTTGCCGGTGTACTTCTGAAGATATCCTTTGGCATCTCGTTTGGTAGCTGATACCTCCAAGACGGAGACAATGAAGTCCTGGTAATAATTAGATCAGTCGTGCAGTGAATAAGTACTGAGTTCAGGTGGCATACTCTATCAATGGCCTTTTTCTTGGCCAGCGCTGTAGAAGCTGCCGACATGCGACGAGTGGCACCTTTGCCGAGACATGGCAACGAGATGGTATTGCCGGATTGTGAAGCAAAGCCGCGATATCGGGATCGAATCGGGGTCGCAATGCTATTTGAAGATGCTATGAGGCGTGAGTCCGTAGATGGTGCACAGTGGCCACATCGAGGTGCCTGTTTCAATACGCGGGGCCAACTCATGATGTCCGGTGGTGATGACCTCGTGCCTGGTTCTTGGCAGGCCGGTACAGAATAAGGTAATAATAGAACTTGGAATAAGTCTTTGTCTTAAAACAAACACCTCCCCCGAATGACCTGCGGTTTAGTGAAATATAGGCGGCCGTAGGGGGAGAAAGCTCAATGTTAGCTGCAGAGCATCGCTGGGCAGGGAACCCTAGATGAGGGAAAGATGCAAGAGAGCAGTCGTGACAATGCTCTGCTTTCCCGTGAGTCAAAATTGACCGGCACTTAAGTTATCAGATGGCCGGGTAGTGGAGGTGTAACGACTTTTTTTTGGTTGGCAGCATGTGGGCGATAAGCTGATAAGCCCCCAGGTTACGCCGATGTCGCTGAAGATGACGATGCCGTTCCATATGACAAGAGAATGAAGACTTGGACCTATAAGTAAGGTACTGACCCATGTAATTAGTAATAGTAGGTAGTAGAAATGAGTAACAAAATAGAGGTTGCCTGTTATTTTGCCTCGTTTTTATGGTTGCATTGTTCTCTTCTACCAACGAGGCTAGCCACTCACATGGCCACTACCAAAGGAAGACATGATATAAAGCTCAACACAACCTATAGTACCTAGTTTGACCCTTTTCATAGATTGGCATATGTTCAATCTTCCTCATGGTTTGAAGCTTTCTGGTTTCCGCACATACTCGCGGACAATATCAACATACAATATCCCTGTCAAGCACTAACGAGTCCCCCATAATCGAAGAGATCATAGTCGAGCGCCGTGTCGATAATATGTAGCACATTAAAGCAGCGACTGTTTACAACAATGAGCCAGCAGTCCATCTATCGATAGTAGAAAGATATTTATCCAATACCAGAAGAGTTTCATCAATAAGATAGATTATTTGCATAGAGCAGTTGTGCCTATGTCACGATCCTATCCTCCTTCATGCATCCAGAGTGTCTGCTTCGGCCTGAAAGGAAAGAATGTTATTGAGAAAAGGCACTGCAACACCACCGCATGCAAAAAGTCTCGCCAGATATATATATATATGATGAATCATGCTCTACAGCCTGAAAATAGATCTCTTCCTGTCACATGTAAGTGTGGCCCAACCTCGCGGCAGAGGCTGATATTGAGCCTATTAACTCATGTTGTATTCGCAAAAGGAATGGGCGGCGTTTTGATGCCGAGTTTCAGCTTTTAACGCACTAAAGCCACAATATTGGACGGCCTGTCATTAGCGCGAACTGATAGCATTTCAATAGCCTGAATCAGAGCCGATATATCCGGTTCAACTCGAGACCTTCCCTACCTGTAAGACTTACAATCCTTTGACTACAACATGCTATTTAATGATTAAGAATTGCTTTAAAACCCGGAAAGACTACGAGATTTGCCAATCCAGATATGTATAACGAAAGCCTTGTTGCTAGAGTACTGGTTGATACAGCAAGATAGCCAGGGATTAGTTGATGGCCTGATGATGGCAAGAAAACGATGTGATGGTTGCTTTGGCAAAGGCTGCAATGTCTATCATCACCGCCCTAGCTGAACAGCAAGTCAGAGGCCATTTCCAATGTCATCTTTTCAAGGGTCCAGGGCGAGACCCCAGCTCAGTCATGAGATAAGGCTGACTGAGGTAGAAGGAGGGGAACATATATGGGAATGTGGTTCTCGTTCTGATATGTTTCCTTTGTTGCATCGATCTACGCAAATCGTCTCTTTCTGCAAACGGCGCACCATGATCATTACTTCGATAGCCACGGCTGAAGTCCGAGTAGTTCTTCGTATATACTTCCTCATTGTCCTTGCCCTGACAGGCTTCTTTGTGCGCAGGGTTCTCCATGGACGCAACAAGCTTCTCATATTGGGTGGAGGTAGCATTCTGGCCTCGCAGGCACTCAACTCTCTTGATGGGCTGGACCTTTTACTTGCTCCCCTGAAACTCCGAGCTCTTCCTAATGGTGCTTTTGGCTTCTCCTTCTTACTCTTCTTGTTTGTCCTGGGAAAAGCTGCCGATCTTCTCACCTCCTACCTCGTTGTCAATCACTTGATTCAATCACGCTGCTCGTTCGGTCAGGGCCTTGTATTTGACGATGGTACAAATCTTCCCATGCCGCCATTCAATGGACGGCCTTTCCAAGTTGTGCAGAATGCACAACTGTTGGCCGTCAATAACTCATGTCCTTATGGTATCTACAAGAAGCTCAATACCGATTCAAGCTTCTGTCCAGAGAAGAGAGACATTCTCGGATCATGGAACTGCAACATCGCCAACGACCAGACACCGCAGAGCTGGCCATCTGGAACGAACTCTTCAGATATCGCTCGAGACATGAATCAGAAGGGACTGATATATGACAATGGATACGTCGAGCAAACCCAATGGTCCTCCGGATTCGTTAACCATCTCGTTATCTGGAGCACGTCTGCAACTCTCGACAGCGACGGGTCTTTGTGGTCTGTCAAAGCAGCCGTCGAAACAACATACAAGTCAGAGGATGATATCCAGCTCACTCCACTAACTTGCTCCGTCTCGGCATCAGGTGCAGAGCAAACCATCAAAGACATGGCATCTGGAACAACTCTAAAAGAATGGGTCCCAACTTTTCAGGGTTTGATGTACAACGGCTTCAATACCTCCGCCATCCAGGACGTACAAGATGCACTGGCGATACTGTTGAATACCATGACTATGATATCCGGCGGAAACAACTACCTTCTTGCTGAGCCAGGAGCAGGCCAAGACAAGACTCAGGGATGTCTCGCAAGAGTGGCGTACGTCCCGACAGTTATGGTGGTCATCTTCCTCGCTGTGGCAGGTCTTGGTGTCACAGCATTCGTTGCATGGTGCATAACCTCAATCCGTCTATTCCGATCCCCATCTGAGTTGGAGGCACTCCCTCTGAGCGCTGAAGAGTGGGCAACGTTTGCGGCGAGAGAATACCTCAGTACTGGGAACAACAATCACGATGTTGCCGTGGCCCCAGTGGAGACATATGAGTTAAAGAGCTTCAGCGTCGGATTCTCTCAGCCTAATATTGGAAGAATAGGCATGTTCCAGACAAGGCAAGGGAATCTTTTGAATCAGTGAAGTTTTCGAGACAATGGAATTCCTTTGAATCAATGAATCAGCTATATATGTCCTTATGTTTACTTTTTTCGTGTTTGCATGACACTGACGAATGCTGGATATCTATACCCCATACAGCTTACACCTCCACCCAACTGCATTGCATCACAACGGAACCAAACTCCACATCATTCATTATTCCCGCAGACTTGTTGGTTCTCTTACTTGGAATAATTTATAAGCAGATAAAAAACTACTTATTTCTGACTTGTTCTGCTGCATTGTTGTATGTCTAAATAATCTCAGCATACTAACCGGTAGCTCTAACGTCTGAGACTAATCACCACGGCCTAGCTCAACACGATGCCTCCCACACTACTATGGATTGGACTCGGGAACATGGGGAGGGTAAGACTCATTTGCTATTTTAGAAAATGAAGGAATGAAAACTAAATGGTGACAGGGAATGAGCAAGAACATCGTTGAGAAGGGCAACTTGGACGGTCCCCTTCTCTTGTACAACCGTTCATCTCAGAGGGCCACTGACTTCAGTGCCAAGTTTCCGGCTGGCAAGACTGAGGTCGTTGAGTCCCTCGCCGACGGCGTCTCGAGAGCTGATGTCATCTTCTCCTGCATTGCCAACGACGAAGCCGTTCAAGAAACCTTCAAGGCGATACTTGAGGAAAACGTCAAGGGTAAGCTATTCATCGAGAGCTCAACAATCCATCCAGACACCACCGATGCCATTGCAAAGGACGTTGTGGCCAAAGGAGCCGAGTTCGTCGCTGCTCCTGTATTCGGTGCTCCTCAAATGGCTGAGGCTGGTCAGCTCATTGGTGTTCTTGCTGGACCTGCTGCCAGCGTTGCAAGGGCAAAGCCGTGGTTCAAGGGCGTAACTTCCAGCAAGGAGATTGATCTCTCGGATAAGCCTTACAGCAAAGCCTTAACTCTGAAGGTCCTTGGAAACACATTTATCCTGAACATGGCCGAGCAACTCGCTGAGGCGCACGTTGTGGCCGAGAAGACAGGTCTGGGCCCTGAGGCCATTCATCAGATCGTCGACTCAATCTTCGGTGGGCCTTACGCTGCCTATAGCCAGCGTATGCTCACTGGCGACTACTATAACCGTGATGAGCCTCTTTTTGCAGTTGAGCTCGCCCGAAAGGATGCTCGACATGCTATGAGCTTGGCCGAATCTGTTGGTGTGAGACTTCGAAATGTTGAGGCTGCTGATGCGCATTTGGCGATGGCTTATGAACATGTGGGCTCATCGGCAGACATGGCTGGAATCTACGGGGCTATTCGAAAGGAATCTGGTCTCAAGTACGAGAATGATGCTTAGATGTTTGCATATAAGCGTGTGTGAAGCTTTGGGAGTACCGACAACCTATCAAGAAAGCATTGTATATACAAACACTCTCAACTATTTGTCCGCGTACGCTTGGTAGTATCATATAGACATCGATTCGATACTATTTACTTAAGAAGGTATATTTATTGAGTAAGTCATTATTAGAATTCAAGTCCAAGGTAGACTGCCTCGAGGTTTAGGGTAGCTAGCTTGGCGTTTCCGCTGACTCAGCCTGGACCTCGAGTGATGCAACCAATTCAGCTACAAGCTCTCAATCATCGAATACACCAACCATTAAGCAAGCTCCTGTATCCCGAACTCAACCCAACCTCTTCAATCACACGCTTTCTCCGATCGATATTTCCCTGCCGGCAGGACCAGACCCGAAGCACAACCTCAATCATGGCTCAAGGGTACGCAACGACGCAATCCCTCTCCTGTAAACGACGCGTGTAAGGTCTAACCAGAGCGTAGATACGCCGTCTTTATCGGCCTCGTTGTCATTGCCGCCCTGTGCGTGGCATCGTGGTTCCTTGCTCCCAAGGGCGAAAACCAAGTGTCGGTCTACCAATCCCGTCGATGCGATGCATGGCAGGCTGCTTGCGACAGCACAGCTGACCCTTTCTTCTTACAGACTCTGGCGATCCTCTGCTATCCTGGCCATCGTGAGCTGCTACCTTATGTGGGCGATTACGTTCCTCGCCCAACTTCACCCTCTTATTGCGCCGAGAAAAAGCGGTATCCGCGAAGAGCACCTCCACTAGATACCCGTCTAGAATATATGCCACGGAAGAGCTGGAAAGATGACGAGGGCTGTTGTGATGGTACGGTTGTAATTTTACATTGTTGGACTTTTGAAACTTGAACTGGTATTGCTTTTTATTACATATGGAGTTGGAACGCCTGTTATACCAAGCCAAAGACGCACTTCGCAGACCATCATTTTGCTTTGGACAATTCCCGTATGATTACTTGGCTTCAGTGATAAATGCCTACCCGACAGCAAGACGGCCTGCCCATTCCTTCGCATACATCAATAACGCCCATAGAGCTTTGCCGTCTGCTGCCACGCCACTTTCACCTATCGAGTCAACGTCGGCAAGGCCAGCAGCGAGCAAAACAGCCCGGCCGACCACCCAGCGTGAAGCCGCCCCTGCGATAGCGAGTAGACATGCTATGGCATAGTTGCAATCAAGAAGAATGCGTAGCGCCTCGACATTGTTGGCCACGACAGCCCAGCCAAGTGATCGAGCTGAGGCGGGAACGTCATAATCCCATATCACCATCAGGATGGGGAATAGCTTCGTGGAGGATGATACTAGGAGAGCTGTAGACACTGAATTGGGCCTTGTGTACTGAGGAAGAATGCCAAGAAGGTTGAGGGGGGAGAAAGCGGACGATGTGAGGAAGCGTATGCTCACATGGAAAGCTGCTGTCGAGAGCGCGCAAAAGATGACTCGGGCAAGAGTTAGTTTATGACCAGAGCTGTCTTGGGAGCCATCTTACGGAAGAAGAGATATTGAAACACAATCGGTTGTTGTGAAAGTTTACCCAAGTTGCTTGCGCCTGGGATGGCAGCAGGCACCATCTGCTTCTCCAATCGTGCCCACGTCAGGTACACATCAAAGAGAAGGAGAAGAGTGCCTAGACGGATAACGGAAGGCTAAGAAGTCATTAGTAAGGTACATATGCCGTACTCTTTATTCATCACTTACATCTAGGCGATCATCATCCCGCATCAAGGTATTGTATAGTAAATGTCGATAGACCTACACCTGTTAGTACATGAGAAATCAAAAACACGCAGTGAAGGCTCGCCTGAGGTTTGATCAGGACTAGATCGATAAAAAGCACGACAAAGTCATGTTCGACATACTTGTCGCAGAAGCGGCCACAGTTGCGACACACAGTGAGTCGGATATTGTGTCCGCTGGCCTTGTCTCCTGCGCCAGAATATGCTGTCCAGAGCGTCTTGACAGGATGTCTGCATTCGATGCAGATTGGCATATTGCCCCGTTACTAGGTGGCTTATAAGGAATGACCATTAATCAGTGATTTAACTGGGTGTCGTCTGGCTAGCACCATATCATGGCCGGGCGGTTATTGATAGTAGCGAGCGAGTCGTGGTGTTTAAAGTACTACAGACGGTGCGAGCCACGAAATTGACAGGTGCTCGGGGATGACGTGGAGATAAGGGCGCTCGCTAACTTGGGATAAATACCACCCCCTGATTTGATATTCATGAATATTGAAAATTAATGAATACAACCTACTCCGTAGCTACCTGCCAAGCAGGTGCTTACCGATTGCTTGAGCCAATTATCAACAACTGGCATTCTATTTCTGAATTGTGCAATGTTATTGCTACCTACCTATAATTGATCATAAGCTCAAGATCAACCTAAGTATATCTAGATGTATATGGTATATGCAGTCCTAAAACCTATTAGAGTTTTAGAAACACCCCAAGTTCTTCAAATTTGTTATAACGTATGCAGTACCAAGTATCCTGAAGAATTGCGAATGCCCCCCAACGCCTCGCAGCTTAAGACTAGCTCCAACAAACAACGCCCGCTTGTCCCTGCCCAGGCATATCTACATGATTCTCAGCGATGGATCCATTTAGCTCAAGCTCTGGGGCCTCTCAATCGTCTTTATCACCCTTTGCCACCATTCGTCCTCGAACAGCCCCCTCACCTTCGCTTCGGCTACTGCTCTTAATCTGTAGCGACTCCATAAGGCTGGTCGGTGGTGCCCCGGAAGGACGCCCATCATCACTGCCGGTATCTGTCAATTCTATTAGATCGCCGTTTCGTTCGGGTCTGCTGCCTTCAGGCATCCCTCGTATCCTATCCAGTTGCGAACTTGGCTTGCGTGACAGGGCACCCCTAAGCCACGTCTCTACAGCCGCAGCCGCTTTGTCCAGTCCGTTGCCCTGCTGTGTTGAGCCGAATTCTTGGCCCTCTCCTGATGGGTTCTCAACTATGCTCGATGATTCTCCTGATTTGAATCCAAAATGGGCCTTTTCTGAGCCCATAATAGACATGGAGGGTATTCCCTCTAAGGTGAGCCCAGGTAAGTGCTTCTTGGTCCATGTGGTGAGATAGTCCTTATCCGGACCAGGAGCCCGTGTACTCATACCCATGGAGCCAACACCACCAGGCCGACGCATCCAGGCCGGCAAAGTTTCGCCACCTTCGCTGATCGCACCTCGTCCCGGACTTGACACAACGGTGCCAGAAAGCTGGGGTCGGTGACCGAGGGAGCTCTGGCGACGAGACGAAGTGCCTGCAGATCCAGGAGGGTTACTGTATAGATCAAGGCTCTGCCGTGGCGTCGAAAAGGTCGAAACAGTCCTAATGCTCTTCTTTCGTCGAGGCGGGAAGTAACCCATAGCGTTCCTCGCAACCCGTGCAACCTCGACTGGTTGAGGAATTGAGTCAATTTTTACCCAACGTACATGTGTCCACGGTCTTTCTTCTTCTTCAGAAGGTTGTGTCGCTGACGGCGTTCCATTAATTGGCCGGCTAAAGAAGTCATCATGAAGTGCCGATGAGTTCTCTTCCACTGCAGGTGTTGGCGCAAGCAAGTCGACACTATGGGCGTTGTGCCACGAGGGTGGATCGCATGGCCGCCCTCTCACATCGCAGGCATCGACGGGAATTGTCAGCCATTTGCGCACCTGGATACTATCTCGTGTCCAGAGTCCATTGGCCTTCCTGAACGCATCCTCTCGACACTGGTATTTCAAGATTATACCTGCATATGTATCACTGGATTCAACCTTATGAATGTAGACCAGGTACTCTTGAGCCTGGGATTGTTCGGGAGTCGATTCGTCGGAATTACGGCGTTTATGATTCCCACTGACATCCAGTCCACCGTTGACGCCATCATGGCTCTCCAGCACCATGGCTCTTCTCGCAGCCTTCAGAGCCGTTTCCCGCTCTGCCAGCGAGCCAGCGCCCACATCATTCAGGTTTGGTTCCTGGGGAGGAGCTGGGCCCCAAGCACCACCTGGCTTCTTCATACTACCACTGCCGGAGAAGTCCCTGCCCCAGGTCCCGGGTCGAGGGCCTGCTCGATTATGGGACTGAGACCTTCTAGCTGCGCCATTGTCACCTGATAGGAGAGAGGAGGTGAAGCCCTGGATCGAAGCCCAGCTTTGCGTTAGCGAATCGTTGAAGAAGTTGCTCAGATTCGCTGCGCTATTCGTGCGATGAGGGGTAACACGTCGTTCTGAGGGTAGCGGACTCGTGGAGCGGCTGTTGGCAGGGCTCAAAGCTGTCAAAAGGCCGTAGCTCCGCGCAGGAGATGGAGAAGCAGCGGTGTCGTGAACATCGAGGTTACGGCCTCGGCGGGAGCGGCTGGCTTCTCGGGAAGTCGCAGGGTCACTATCGTCGTCGAAGGCACTAGCAAGACGCCGGTTTCGTGGGCGAATAGAGGTATAATCCGATGTGTTGGCGGGTGCCAGGGCTGATGAGGACCGATGCGGCGAGGGCCGCACAGAGCGTCTCGGTTCGGTCATGATAGTCGCCAACTCGGCGACGATGGGTGCTCTCGGATTGTGCTGTGCGGGTGCAGCTTTTACATTAGTGCGCGGCACTTATGGCACAGCTACCAGAGTCCGCATTCGCAGTCATTCAGTCGAAAGAGGGCGACGTGTCAAGGAGATGCTGAGGGTCGAGGAGGCGAGATAACAAGGCGGAGATGGGATAACTTAGGTCAATGGAGGGTCCTTCCAGGGATCCCCGATTGCTAGCGGAGGCGATGAGTAAGGTCGAACGGAGCCGATTCTCTTGGTGTTTAAATAATGAACGTATTCATGCCCTGCTTTGTGGCTGGCGATCGTGAGGGAGAATATATCTCAGCGGTCGTGGCATGGATTATGCTTCGTCGTGGGATATGATTGAGGTGGTCGTTCTAACTCACAGGACAAGGTTGCTGGCTCCTGGCCCACCGAAGCCTACATGGACAGGTAACTAAGGTAGGTGTAGCCAATGCTAGATACCTACTATACCTAGGTACCGAGTAAGGTACCTGCTTAGGATTAGGGAGTATCTTAAGTAATCCATGGGGCCAAGGTGGCACTCAATTACAGCCCGGTATCATGGAGGCCAGACCTTCATGGGCTTTGCACGGCCTGGACCGAAGTGATGCAAGCGGCATTGACTCGATCAATTCCAGTTCCAGCTCTTCATTCCAATCATTCCAATACAAGCTTTTTCACTAACTGATTTCCATGCTGGGATTTGTTGCTCAAGACGACATGTTGTGCCCCAATCAGATAATTTTAGCATGCATACATAACCAAAGCCCTTCCAATTAGCGAGTAATGGACTCGCTTTAGGTTGTATGTGTTATCGATTTTGGGGGCCGCGTGGAATGAATCTCCCGACCCACGTCCACCTTTTTGCGCTCAAGATTGGCTGATGTTTCTTGCCTAGCGTCACGGATCACAATAAACCCCACTGACAAAGGTGACTTTGGCCCCTGAGAGCGGCCCCAAGTCCCTGAAAACCCTTCCAGAAGGCATCCACAGGCTGAGACTGGGACCCGGGGCAGGCTCCCGTTAGAAACGACTACATCGTCATTGACGACTCCATGTCCCATGATTATTGGGGGAGGGTATATACGATTTCCGCACGTAGTGAACTCCTAGATGGGTATAAATAGTTCTTTTAATATGAAGTTAAGAATATAGCGCCTTTGACAATAATAATCTTCCATCATTGCTGCTTCTGTCTTCGTTATCCTCAAAGCATACCACATCCAGTTAACATGTCATAATGCCCTTTCAATATAATCTTGCCTGGTTTATGACCTCCATTTCTACTGATGATCTTCTGTGCACCATATAGCTATGATAGTGCCTGGCATCTTCTATTGTCTTCGACTAACAGGGTCCAATTATTCGTCATGTTTTGTCTCAGCGGCGCCGTGACAAACCCGTTCCCTGGCTCCATATCGCAAACTTGAGGTTTATCAAAGGCCGTGTTCAAGACATGCCCTGTTGCTCAACCACCTAGACAAACCGCAAAGTGCAAGAAATAGTCATTACGTGGTCATCGGCCCAGCTTTTCTCAAAGACGTGAGTTTGTTTACTGTTCGTTGTCATCCAGAACAACTGCAACATCGGTGACGGCCACCTCAAGTCGATCTGTCCCCATTATTCATTTTTCAGCCGAGGGGCATGTCAAGGTTAATATGATTAGCGTCGGTCCCGTTGATGCCAAAGAATTGGAACCTGAGACATCATTAGCCAGTGCGATATAAACGCAGTATTTCATGAGACTTACCAGTCTTCGACATTTAGTGTTGTTGGCACCGCTTGCCCTGGTCCCGAGGTAGTGCTCCAACTGTCTGGGCTCTGTCCTTCTGGCAAATTCGGATCCATGTTTGGCTGCCACATATTCGAATGTCCCTGAAAACCTTGGGGCATCATCCCATTCCCTCGTTGTTGATAATGTCCGGATTGTTGGCTATGCATCCCGCCTTGTCCGTTGTTCGGAGGTACTGAGCCCATTGCATTGTGATCGAGATTGGAGTGTGTTTGTGTTGGTGACAGGTTAGGGAAAGCTGGCATGGCAGCACTATCTGGGAACAACTGGTCAGGCTGGAAGTTTTCCCAAAGGGACTGTGATAAGTTTGGAGAATTCCTCGTAACAAGATAGAGGTCAGGAGGTGTTGGTGGTACAGAGAATGATGGGTTGAAGGGCGTTGCTGGCCGAGTTTGCGGGCGCGAGTTCGTCCCCCCCATGAACGTATCTGCGGCACTCTGTCGCGCGTTAGGTGACGTGACTGGTGGCGGCTGCATCGTGCTTCCCGATTCGACCTTGACAGCACTCGGAGTCTGGGGGCGCGACCTCTCATACGATTCTTGAGGCTGAGGAGTAGTGGTGCCGAAGTCGATGGCCATGTCGTCGTACTTCCGCTTCGGCGCCTCGGCCTGTCGATTCTGTTGCTGTTCAAGATGCGAGAGACTTTGGCGCAAGTTCCGGTGTCGC